CCATATATCAATAGTGCCACTGTTGCTAAACCCTGAACATATACGGTTTTCCCAGCTATTGACCATTTCCTGCCTGGCTCCCCTGCAGCAGTGCTAAGGTGCTCCGTCGATTGTTGCTTTTCCATTAAACAGGTTGGCTGTTGATATCAATGCAGCTGTATTTAATTCCATTTAAAGGTAAACTGTAACATTTATTCAGGCGCCTTGCTTACTGACTCTACACTTCTTTCCATTTTTGCTATTGAAGACAACTGCAGTGAAGAACCCTTTTGCCCACATGGGAGGGTAATCCACAGGCTAAATTCCTAGAAGTGGAATTGAGCATCAGAGGCCACATGCGGTGACATTTTGAGAGGTATCGCCAAACTGCCCTCTAAGGATGTGGTTCTGAGTTATGCTTCCTCCAGAAATGTAAGATCTTGCCTCTTTCTCTAGCGTGGGTATTTTTCATCCCTGGTTTCCATTTATAGCCTGAGCTGTCTTCATATCAGCTGAAAAGTTCAAAATGTTGGCAGCAAGGGTGGATTCTGAAGAAATTCCCGATATAGAAGGGCAGGGGTGGAAGAAATCCCGATAAGCTACATGAGCTACATGAGAAAGTGAAGCTCTTCTTTTCTCCCTGCGGAGGAGAGGAGAGTCAAATGCAGCTGCCGGTTGGAGAAAGATCATTACATTTGGCTAAACTCCTCAAGGTCAACCCCCAGGGCCTGGGCCCAGCCCCTAGCCATTTGGTAGTTTTTTCTAACAAGAATAAACATAACGGCAGCTTATTGACCAGAGAAACCTTGGTTTGTAAAATGAGATAGTTTACATTTGCATTTTTCTTGATTATGAACATTCCAGTGTTCAATCTTTTTAGGCAGATATTAATGGGTCACATTTCCTGCAGGCATGCATGTTGACGTGCAGGTGCACACACTCACAGCTCAGTTATTCAGTTGAAGCCTAGACCTCTTTTTATGGACCCTGAGGTTTAGAAAGGTGGTCCAGTTAACACAGACACACAGGCGTTAAGATAAATAGTGAGTTTTCTTTACTCATATAGAAGATTGGTTTGATACAGGGGTTCTCAGCCTTAGCTGCCAATTAAGATCACCTGGCAAGTTTGTTGTTGGGTTTTTTTTTTTTTTTTTTTTCCTGAGATGGAGTCTCGCTCTATAACCCAGGCTGGAGTGCAATGGCGTAAGCTTGGCTCACTGGAACCTCCACTTCCCAGATTCAAGTGACTCCCTTGCCTCAGCCTCCCAAGTAGCTGGGATTACAGGCATGCACCACCATGCCCGTCTAATTTTTGTATTTTTAGTAGAGATGGGGTTTCACTATGTTGGTCAGGTTGGTCTTGAACTCCTGACCTCAGGTGATCCACCTGCTTTGGTCTTCTTAAGTGCTGGGATTACAGGTATGAGCCACTGCGGCTGGCCTCCTGGCAAGTTTGTAAAAGGCTGATGCCCAGGCCTTCCCCCTAGCCAATTGAGTCAGAGCCTCAGGATGGGGCTCAGGCCTCAGGATTTTCTAAAACTTCACAGACAAGTTTGGTGTGCAGCCAGGGTTGGCAGTCACTGGACTAGTATAGAAGATGGCAGATTTTACGGCTTTCAGGCCAAATCTGGCCCCCCACCTGTGTTTGCAAATAAAGTTTTACTGGAACACAGCCACACCCATCTGTTTATATATTGTTCATGGCTGCTTTTGCAACAGAGCCTGTATGGCCTGCAAAGCCTGAAATATTTACTGTCTGGGCTTTTTTATTTTATTTTTTGAGATAAGGTCTGGCTCTTTTGCCCAGTCTGGAGTGCAGCAGCGTGATCTCAGCTCACTGCAGCCTCTGCCTCCTGGGCTCAAGCGATCTTCCCACCTCAATCTCCTGAGTAGCTGAGACTACAGGCATGTACCACTATGCCTAGCTAATTTTCTTATTTTTAGTAGAGACAAGGTTTCACCATGTTACCTAGGCTGGTTTCGAATGTGAGCTCAGGGAACTGCCCCCCTCAGCCTCCCAAATTGCTGGGATTACAGGCGTGAGCCACTGTTTCCAGCTTTCTCTAGGCTTTCACAGAGAAAGTTTGTTGACCTCTGTTGTAAATTTTTTCGGTAACTGTGTGTAATCTAGTAGTATATAGGAATGTTATTGAGGACACTAATGAATGTCACTTGGGTAGCCATGGAGAGTATTTTTGTGAGCTACTTTTCCATCTTTATTCTTGAAAAGGCTGGCTTTCCCCTTTGGAATCTAGTGGGCTGCTTCATTTCTGAAAGTGGAAATTATCAAATCCCTACCCCTTTGCTGTCACATTTGCATGCAGCTCAGCTATTAAGTCCTCGAGTCCTGCTTACTGGAACTGCTCTTTAATCTGGGCTTTCTCTCTCTTCTTTCTTTCTTTTTTTTTTTTAGATAGAGTCTTGCTCTGTCACCCAGGCTGGAGTGCAGTGGTGCGATCTCGGCTCACTGCAACGTCTGTCTCCTGGGTTCCAGCGATTCTCCTACCTCAGCCTCCTGAGTAGCTGGGATTATAGGCGCCTGCCACCATGCCTGGCTAATTTTTTAATTTTTAGTAGAGATGGGATTTCATCATGTTGGCCAGACTGGTTTTGAACTCGTGACCTCAGGTGATCTGCCCACTTTGGCCTCCCAAAGGGCTGGAATCACAGGTGTGAGCCACCACGCCTGGGCTTTCTCTTTTAATGTTTCCCCATTCCTTGCTCTTTTTTTTTTTTTTTTTTTAATTTTTAAATTGTTTTACTCTTATAAATTCTCTTTATTAAGCTTCTTCAGATTTCTTGCTGGACAGAGATAAGTATAAACAGTTTTCTAGTTCTTTCTTCAGTAAATTTTTTTTTTTTTTTTTTTAAATACAGGCTCTTGCTCTCACCCAGGCTGGAGTGCAGATACACAGTCATGGCTCACTGCAGTCTCAAACCCTTAGGCTCAAGCAGTCCTCCTGTCAGCCTCCCAAGTAGCTAGGATTATAGGCATGTACCACCAAGCCCAGCTACTTTTTGTATTTTTTGTAGAAATAGGGTCTTGCTATGTTGCCCAGCCTGGTCTCGAACTCCTGGCCTCAAGCAATCCACCTGCCTCTGGGTCTCAAAGTGCAGGGAGAAGTGTGAATCACTGTGCCTGGCCTCCCTGCGGGAAATTTGCACATTCTTCCCCCTCTGAGAGGTGGCCGTGTGAATGTCTGCAGTCCTGTCTCTAGTAGCCTCTCTTTAAAGCCCTGATCAGTGTGTGTGTACACACGTGCACATGTGCATGCATGCACACGCATATATTTTTTTGGGTATTTTTCTTGAAGGGATAGTGTCTCTGCTTGCTCTGAGCACTTACTTCTGGAATCTCCCTGGGTCTGGGAAGGGCAGTCTATGAGTGTGATTTAAGAAAAGACCCATCTCTTCCCTCCCTTTTTTTTTTTTTTTTTTTTTTTTTTTTTAAATAATAGGGTCTTGCTCTGTTGTCCAGTCTAGACTGTAGTGGCGTGATCATGGCTCAGTACAGCCACTAATCCTGGCTGAAGCCATTCTTCTGCCTCAGCCTCCTGCGTAGCTGGGACTACAGGTGCATTCCACCACAGCTGGCTGGGCAAAGACCCCTTTCTAATCTTACCTTGGTGGGTGTTAAAATTAAATTGGAGCAGTTTATTGCTTCTGGTCACCTATGAGTGGATTGGGTGGGGCTTTTGGAGGCCGCTTCTGGTCACTTTGAAGGAGCTAATTTCTGGGTATGCAGTATTTAAGAACGCTCCCTTACTGTGTGAACGGGAGAGTGGTTGGGTTAGGCCAAAGGCAAAAGGTTGGAGAGAGCGATGGCTTTAAATAGTGCTTCCAGCCCAGCTGGACTAGATTCCAGGGCCTCTTTAACAGCCCAATGAAAGGAGGCGGCTTGAGGCGTGGAGGGAGCTGGGAGATGAAGCTCGAAGTCCAGGGAGCAAGCTCATCGCTGTTGGGAACCGGCTCAGAAATGGCTTTTTCTCTTTGTGGGTTGATTGGATGCCATCTGCTTTCTGGGATCGGCCGGGGTAGGACAGCTGCCCCACATTCTGCTTTGGGTGGGTTTGTGGGGATGCCAGAGGGTGGCATGCACAGTGGAGGACAGTAGGCCCCACCTGCAGAGTCGCTTGTTGCTTTGTGGACCTTTGCAGCCGCTGAAACTCTTAATATTTTGGGGGTGCTAGAGTAGGTGGGAAAGGAATCCAGAAAATGAAGACTCACTGACTCTTTGAATCCATCCTGCTGGTCCTACAAAGAGCCCTCGCAGAAGTGAGGGGACAGGACCTTTGGCCCGAGGCACCCCCCAGAGGTCTCTGCCTGGGAACTGGGCTAACGACCTTGGACTCTTACTTGAGCAAGACCTGTTAGATGCAGGTTGAGTATCCAGGGCTAATCTGTTCCCCCTGCCTCACGCAGATGCCGCGAGCCAGAGCACACAGGTTGGAAGGTCTGCCTGTCTTATACTCCCCACCCTTTCTAGTTTCAGCCCCAGACTAGGTCCACGGAGAACGAAAAATGAAGCCTCTGTGGCAAATAGGCATTTAGGGTTCCCAGCTGTCAGGGTGTTTTTGAGGGGGTCGCTGTCCTTGGATAAAAGCCCCCTCCAATCTGGACCTGCAGTTACAAGTACACCCTGACCAGGCTCGGTGTTGCTTTGTACACTGAAATTGAGAGTGAATATCTGCCAGTAACCTTTGCCTTTAGAGGGTCCCTAATGATGCTGACTTCCACACACTGAGCCATCTGGCTGGGACTGTCCATTTGAAATATTGAAAGTCACCCAGATGATTGTTCAGTGGACTGTTTAAACCTGCCAAACGTGTGCACGCAGGCCATTATCTTCATGTCACCCCATGTGGTTGAGCAGATGATATTGTTGGGATGAATGACAAAGAACGTATCCCCCCTCCCCCGTGTTCTGAAATGTGTGTTTTGCTCTGACTTTGCAAGGACTAAGCTCAGTAATGAGCATCATTGTGTGCCTGGTCTTACGAAGGTGTGATGGTCTCTTTCAGATCGAAGCAAAGCAGAGATGGATTTGAAGGAGCTGAGTGAGTCGGTCCAGCAACAGTCTACCCCCGTTCCTCTCATCTCTCCCAAGCGCCAGATTCGTAGCAGGTTCCAGCTGAATCTTGACAAGACCATAGAGAGTTGCAAAGCACAATTAGGTTTGTTTTGTTTTTTTTCCCTAGCAGTATCATTGTTACCATTACTTGTAGGGATGCCACCGGGACGAAATCACGGTTGAGTCCTGACTGCTTTTAGCAGGTGCTTTAAACTTAAACTGTTTGCTCAGCTAAAATGTATTTCCACTAATGGCAAAAGATTTCAGACTTGCTAGTTAATTCAGGGCTCTTTGAACTCATCAGATTTTATTCTTTGGTGAAAGCAGCTGGGAAACTTGAGATACAGGTTTGAAGCATCAAGGTTTGCAAGCAGAATGAGGATCCTCTGGGTTTGCCTCGGCTCTCCCTCTCAGTACACATCAGTGTCTCCACACCAATACCGAGTGTGTTCTGCAGGTGTCCGACACAAAACCCTTTCCCTCCAGACCGGTGTCCTCCCCACCTGGCAAACCCTTCCCGCTTCTGTAGCTGTTGCCTTCCTTGCTCTTCCCTGTGCTGCCTGTCTTCACACTGCCTACCTGAATCCTGCCCTTCCGTGAGGCTGAGCTCAGATCTCCCCTCCTCCCGGACGTCTCCCCTGACTGCCCTCCCCATCTGCCCGCCTCCTTTGGTACTTTATTGCTTGGAAGCAGCAATGGTCCCTATGTGTGGGAGTGTCCCTCCCAATCTAGACCGGAAACTCCTTGACGGCAGGGAGGCTGTTGGATGAGGATTTGCCTTCTCTATGGTACTTTATGCACATGGTAGATGCTCTGGAATGTTTGTTGAATATGTCAGTAAATCTAGCAGGGCATTTCTGAAGAAGTGGGGGATGGCTGGGCTTCTGGAGAGCAAGCTCCTCCGAGTGTCAGTGGGTGTTCTGCATCTTCAAGTGAGAAAGCAGCTATAGTTAGGGACCACCTGGGGCTGACCAGAGGACAGCAGCTCCCATTGGCTTGCCTGTTTGATCAGGACATTGAGTGGCATGGATGAAATTTGGCGTGCCATTTACATATGCCTCTTGGGTCCTTCCATGCAGCTGGTCCTACTCTTGATTTGTTTTTATCGCTAATAAGAGTTGTAATATTTCCATTTACCGAGTGTTTTCTCTGACACTATGCTAAACACTGCATATAGATTGTCTTAGGAGGTTGATACTTTTATCAGTCCCATTTTGCAGATGGAGAAACTGAGGCTCAGAGAGATGAATCACTTATTCAGGGTCACACCAGTAATAAAAACAGAAGAGCAGGATTTGAATTCATATCCTTTGGACCCCAGTACCCAGGCTTTTCCTATCCCATATGTGGCTACACTTCTCCTTCTTGTTGCTTTTTGTTTTGTTTTGAGGCGGAGTTTCGCACTTGTTGCCCAGGCTGAAGTGCAATGACACAATCTTGGCTCACCACAACCCCTGCCTTCCAGGTTCAAGTGATTCTGCTGCCTCAGCTTCCTGAGTAGCTGGGTTTACAGGCATGTGCCACCACACCTGACTAATTTTGCATTTTTTTTTTTAGTAGAGATGGGGTTTCTCCATGTTGATCAGGCTGGTCTCGAACTCCTGACCTAAGATGATCTGCCCGGCTCGGCCTCCCAAAGTGCTGGGATTACAGGCGTGAGCCACCGCGCCCAGCCTTCCTTCTTGTTTCTGATCATGAGCTACCAGCAGCACAAGCCTAGGTTTCCAGAATTATACCAGATCTGGGTGTTTGTATTTTGGCTTGTGTTCTTGCTGTCTTGCCCTGGCCAGCCTTGAACTCTTGGGTTCAAGCAGTTCTTTTGCCTCAGCTTCCTGAACAGCTGGGGTACATGTGTGCACCACCGTGCCTGGCCTGGCTTGACTTGTGTTTTTGTTTGAGCCCTGGTGGAGGCAGATATATTTCCCAGTGATCCTGCCCATCTCCCATGCTCTGGGCTGTTGATGGCTCTGGTACTTTTGCAGGTTTCCCTTTGCTGTGTCTGGGTTGGACAGTGGCACCACTGTCAGTGGCCATTGCTCTAAATGAAGAGATTGCACAGACTTCGTTGGGTTTTCTTTCCTCTTTCCAAAAGTTTAGAATATAGTAGCATTACCGACAGTATGATGATGGCACAGCGTATTATTGGGAGCAGGAGGTGTAAATGGGTTAAATGGAACTATTGTTAGAAATGTGCCTTTGCCTGTGTATGTGTGAAACACCTGCTAGTTTGTGCTTTTTGTTTGTGTGTGTGAAACACCTGCTAGCTTGTGCTTCTCCCTTTTGAAAGAGACGGAAGTATGTGACTTTTCTCCTGACTCCTTTACCAGTGGAAGAGCAATGCACACGGAGTGGCAGTTGACTTTCCACATGAGTGCAGGGAGCAGGAGGGAGGGCTGGGCACCTGGGTCACCTGGAGACAAGTGTGTCCCCTGCCTAGAGAAGCCAGTGGCTTTCCTGTCCCAGCCAATGCCTGGCAGGTTGCTGACTCAGAGAGGCTAGATTTTCCCCTCTTTATCAGACGCCCCTGCTTTGATTTCTCTATGAAATTTTCTGAGTTGTGAATTGGGTAACACATTATAAATTAGAAAACCAAAAGCAGATAAGATACCCTGTCGGTCAAACCAGTGCCTCTCCCATGAAACATGTCTGCAAGCTAGATGTGGCTTGTGGGCTGAGTGTTTGCAGCCTCTGCTTGAAGGCGTTGGCTTATTTCTTTGGGCGCTGGACACAAAGGATAAAGAACTTCACCACTTTGGGAACCCAAGGGAAGCAAGAGTGCTTGGTGGGGAGCCAGGAACCCAAGGTTCTGGTCTGGCCTCTGTCTTGTGTCCTAGGGCGGGTCATATCCTTGGGCCTCTGTTTTCTAATCTGTAAAGTGGATCAGTTTGAACAGCTTATTCCTGTTGTTCCCTTCCAGCCCTCTCATTCTCAATAATCCCGATTGGTTATCAATGTTATAAAACAATTTAGTGCCACATATTTAGTGCCATATACATTTAAGATTTCTGTTGGTAGGTCCCGTGTCTCCTTTGAATGTTAACAACCAAAACTCTCACCAAAGGCAATTCCACCGGTCAGCCATAGTCAGTGCCACTTGAGTTTATTACGGGTCCCAGTGTGATGCAATTTGAAATGTCTTTTTCTTACTCCAGTGTTTGGTGTGGAAAATGTTTGCATTTTTTGTCCTGATCTTTATTTTGTGACTATCCCACATGCTGGGCTTTCTTTTTAAATTTAGGCATCAATGAAATCTCAGAAGATGTTTACACGGCTGTAGAGCACAGTGACTCGGAGGATTCTGAGAAGTCAGATAGCAGCGACAGTGAGTATATCAGTGATGAGGAGCAGAAGGCCAAGAATGAACCAGAAGACGCAGAGGACAAAGAGGGTTGTCAGATGGACAAAGAGCCATCTGCCGTCAAAAAAAAGCCCAAGCCTACAAACCCAGTAGAGATTAAAGAGGAGCTGAAAAGCACATCACCAGCCAGCGAGAAGGCAGACTCTGGAGCAGTAACAGTCAAGGACAAGGCCAGCCCTGAGCCGGAGAAGGACTTTTCCGAAAAGGCAAAGCCTTCACCTCACCCCACAAAGGATAAACTGAAGGGAAAAGATGAGACTGATTCCCCAACAGTCCATTTGGGCCTGGACTCCGACTCAGAGAGTGAACTTGTCATAGATTTAGGAGAAGACCATTCTGGGCGGGAGGGTCGAAAAAATAAGAAGGAACCCAAAGCACCATCTCCGAAACAGGATGGTAAGTGATTGTGTTCGTTTATAGTTTTCTTAATTGGGTTTAGAATCCTACCTCGTATGTTTATTATCAAAAATTATATGACCTTTAAACAAACCAACCAACCATAAGTTATATGACCCTCTAACACCACCGAGAGAGGCACAGTGAAGCTGTGTTTGGTTGAAGGTTACCTAGCTAGTGATGGAACAGAGCCTGGACACAAACATAGGCCCAGCTACCTTTTACCTGCTCAGTATCTGATATGGTTGATTTTAAGTGCACAAAAAGAAGTCTCTTAGAAAATGGTGGTTACTTTAGTGACCAAGTCATGTTTTGTCTGAGCAGCTTCTTCAGTATGCTCATTTATTTCCCTAAAGTATTTGTTAACATTTGGACCTTATCAAATGGTCCTCCATTGCTCCATTCCACAGACATCTTGTTCTTTGTTTACAAGTCTCAAATGGTTAGCAGTGTTCATTTCAGGCCAGGTGTGGTGGCTCACACCTGTAATCGCAGCACTTCGGGAGGCCGAGGCAGGTGGATCATTTGAGGTCAGGAGTTCGAGGCCAGCTTGACCTACATAGTGAAACCCCATCGCAACTAAAAATACAAAAATTAGCCAGGCATGCTGGCAGGTGCCTGTAATCCCAGCTACTTGGGAGGCTGAGGCGGAGAATTGCTGGAACCCAGGAGGTGGAGGTTGCAGTGAGCTGAGATCCTGCTACAGCATTCTAGCCTGGATGACAGACTAAGACTCCTTCTCAAAAAAAAAGAAAAAAAAGTGTTCATTTAAAAGGTTTTGATGATTTCAGCATCCCTTTCCTCCCCTCATGCCACCTAGGCATCTCCAATGATAGCTGGACATTATTTGGGTAGTTGGTGCCAGAATGTTGAATGATCCTTAGGGCACTAGAAAATGAAGTATGGGGGCCAGGCATGGTGGCTCAGGCCTGTAATCCCAGCACTTTAGGAGGCCAAGGCGGGTGGATCACAAGGTCAAGAGATTGAGACCATCCTGGCTAACATGGTGAAATCCTGTCTCTACTAAAAACAAAAAATTAGCTGGGCATGGTGGCGAGCACCTGTAGTCCCAGCTACTTGGGAGTCTGAGGCAGGAGAGTCACTTGAACCTGGGAGGCAGAGGTTGCAGTGAGCTGAGATTGTGCCACTGCACTCCAGCCTGGTGACAGAGTGAGACTGTCTCACAATGAAGTACGGTAGATACATGTATTGGCTTTTTTGGGGTGAGGGGTGCTGGTGACAGAGTTTCGCTCTCATCGCTCAGGCTGGAGTGCAATGGCATGATCTCTTGGCTCATTGCAACCTCCACCTCTGGGTTTCAAGTGATTCTCTTGCCTCAACCTCCCAAGTCCCTGGGATTACAGGCGCGCACCACCTTGCCAGGCTAATTTTTGTATTTTTAGTAGAAACGAGGTTTCACCACGTTGGCCAGGCTGGTCTTGAACTCCTGACCTCAGGTGATCCACTTGCTTCGGCCTCCCAAAGTGCTGGGACTACAGGCATGAGCCACCGTGCCTGGCTGCATTGACTTTTAATCTTATTTGCATTTAACTTAACTGAGCCCAGAGTTTCACAACCTTGCTCTACTGGCTATTTGCCCTGGATAATCCTTAGTCCTGTGTATTGGAGGATGTTTTCCAGCATCCCTGGCCTCTACCAGCCAGATGGCAGTCGTGCTTGCCCAGCTGTGGCAGCCACAAATGTGGCAATCAGATATTGCCAAATATCCCGAGTCTCCGAGGCTGCTGTTATATTCTGAACCGGCAGTGACTACCCTGCAGCCTAGTGCAGCCTGGGCGTGATAACAAGCCCTCCAAAAGGGGTGTGTGAATGATTGGAAAGATTTTTTTTCCCACTGACAAAGTATTCAGTACATTTTTCAGTTGGCTTGGCAAGTAGGTTAGAGGATTCAACATGCTCAATAAAGATACTGAAGAATTAACTCGGGGCCCAGAAGAAACATTGCCTAAGGACAAATTAGAGGTGGTAGCCATAAAACCTTACATATGTTGTGAGTAACATAAGGGATAGCCAGGTTTAATTCTTGACTGTGCCTAACTTCTAACAGGAGCTTACTTGTTCTTCAAACCCTTGAATAAGATGCAATTCCATGTCCTTTGGGGTTTCCATTGCCTGATGGCTTAAAGCAAGTCACGAGTGGGCCTTGGGAATCTTTCTGCTGTGGTTATGGTCAACCTGGGCTGCTCTGGAACCTAGCTATCAGAGTGTGAGATGATTCCTGCAGTTCAACTAAAGAGAATGTCTGTGAGAGGTACAGTGGAGGAAGAGAGAGATGCAGTTACATAAGGGAGGGAAGATGGGCCATCAAACCATCCCGACCCGTCTGTTAGATTTATGGATAGCTTCTGAAAAATCTGAGTATGTTGTGGATTGGGTTTGAGAGACTGCCTCTGTTGTTTCAGAGAACAATAGGAGCAGCATTTATTCCATGAGGATTGTAGGAATATTTGGGTGCAGATGGCAGTACTCCTATGAATGACATATTTATACTGTTCTTTCTTTCTGGAACAGTTCTTTGATTGATTGGTTTTATGCCCCTACCTCTTCCAGAAAGAATTTGCAACAGATTGACAAGGATACATAACCATATGAGACTAGATGAAAATAAAGGCATCCATGTAAAAGGAAAATGAAGGTAGAATAGCAAGTGGTCTGGGGAAAGGTTTTATTCAGAAATCTGTACTGTTTCAACCTTCAGCGTTAACAAAGTTGGCTCTGAGCTTCCTGGCAATGAAAGCAGAATGGGAAACACAGTGCCTTAAAAGATCTCATACTTTCCAAAAAATAAAAAAACATTCTCTTTGATTGAAAGAAGTAGAGTTCTTCCTCACACTGATGTCTGAAGGGAATTAGATGGTGGACAATTACGCTGAAGAGAATTCTAAAACACAATTCAGTTAGAGCAGCTTTCTAAGGCTTGGGGCAAAACTGATCTTAAATTCAGAGTTCATGGTGGTTTGGGTCTTGAAAAATTGGCCTCATGTCAGACTCTGCTGGAGAGTATCTTTTCAATGATGTGTTTTCATTTAAGAGTTTAGTAAGTGAAGGGCATTTTGGAGTGCGGTACCTCCAGCTTACCTTCCACTAGGGATGCAGCTTCTGGGTAGAATATGAATCTTCGGATGGCAAAACAGCTTTTATAACTAGTAATCTCTGAACAGAAGCAAAGAGAGTGCACTTAAAGACTGCTATGCTTGCACTGGCATATCAGAAATTTCCATCCTTCTACAAAGGGGATGCTAATTTTTCTCTTAAAAAGTCCTCGCTTTGTAAATAAAAAACAGTGACCAGTGACAAATTTAGGAATAAGTAGGTTAATTTGATGGGGCAGCATCTCAGGTGCTGACCCTTTAAAAAAAATACACTCTTTTTTTTTTGGTTATAGGTGATTATGTACTCTAAATTTCTGGGACAAAAGAAATTTCCTGTAGCCTAATTTTTTCTCCATAAACCATCAGGATTCCTAAAAATTTAAATGTTTTGGTATCTAAATAACTGCAAACAGTATTTTGAGCCTGGACTCTTAATCACATTGAATACGCCAGCTATTTATTTGGCAGAGAGCCAGCTGTGATCACTGCAGAGCAGTAACCCCTCTGCCCTGCTGGGTGCTTGCTTTCAAAAATCAGGAGAGAGAAAAATGACCTTTTTGTGGTTGCTCGTTACTTATGATGGGAAAACTAGGCTAGCTAATCAACAATAACAATATATTTTTTGGTCACATGGCAGGAAAGGAAGGCATTGAAGGCACTTATGCAGGTTAGAAGCCCTGCGAAGGCACTGCCCCCATGCCCTCCTCTCAGAAGGGCCCAGTTCAACACCTCATCTGCACCTAGAAGAGGCAGGGACTGTGTCCCGTATCTGGCAGGTTGCCCTGGAAGGACCGAAGTTCTTCACTGCAGGAAGCTCCCCTTCTAGATCCACCCGGGCTCTTGCCTACCAGCTTGGCTGTATTCTCCTCTCTGAGGAAGCAGGAGGGCCAGCAACAAGTGGTAACCATCCAGAACGCCCCCTGAAGTCAGAACAGACAGCTTGTCTCTTCCCCTCATTCTCCTTGGCTTCTTAAAACCCACAGGTTACTGAAAATCCTTGCTGGAGTAATCACACTCATTTCTTTTCTGGGTGATACGGATCTTAAAAAGATAGACATTATCCTTATTAAAAGGAGTTTGATATCAGGGAGCATAGTCTATGATCAGGATGCTGCCTTGTACCTGCGTGTGGTGTGTTCCCTGGACATCCTCTCTGGGGCACAGGGCCATTTTACGGGGGCTGCGGCCTGTGCATCCATAACTGACCCACCTTTATAAATGAGCACCCACTCGATCATCCCCTCTACCTGCTGCTCAGTGCTTCTGCCTCTAACCTGCCTTCCAGCACCTCCTTCCTGCCTGCCCTCCCTTACCCAAATACTCTCTATTCCTAGACATGTCTTGCTGATGCCGTTCCCTCCGGATTCTCACTTTCTGCCTGTTGAAATCCTACCTTTTATTCCTCACCAGCCCAGCTCCTCCAAGATGACATACTCCATATGGCAGCGTTTTTCAAACTTGAGTCATTCACATTCATTGTCTTTGCCGTTCTCAAGTCCTTGTATAATTTTTGACTTAATATTTTTATTTAAAGAATCTCATTCTTTAAAAATATAATTAAACTCATTTAAAGTGGGACACAGTAGCATGTGCTGTATTGTATAGTCCCAGCTACTTGGGAGGCTCAAGTGGCTCGCTTGAGCCCAGCCTGGGTGATTTAGCAAAACTCTCTCTCTTAAAAAAGTATCTAAAATAATTAAACTCATTTATTTTTCATTTATTATTAATATTTTTTGAGACGGATTCTCACTGCCCCAACAGGCTGAAGTGCAGTGGTGCAATCTCAGCTCATTGCAATGGCCGCTTCCCGGGTTCAACCAAGTCTTCTGCCCCAGTTTCCCAAGTGTGCCACCATGTCTGGCTAATTTTTTTGTATTTTTAGTAGAGATGGAGTTTCACCGTGTTGGTCAGGCCAGCCTCAAACTCCTGACCTCAGACGATCTCCCCTGCCTCCCAAAGTGCTGGAATTACAGGCGTGAGCTACTGTGCCTGGCCTCATTTTATTTTTTTATTAAAAAAAATTTCCCCTTGGCCAGGTGTGGTGGCTCACCCCTGTAATCCCAGCACTTTGGGTGGCCAGGGCAGGAGGATCATGAGGTCAGGAGTTTGAGACCAGCCTGGCCAACATAGTGAAACCTCATCTCTACTAAAAATACAAAAATTAGCGGGGCATGGTGGCATGCGCCTGTAATCCCAGCTATTTGGGAGGCTGAGGCAGGAGAATCACTTGAACCCAGGAGGTGAAGGTTGCAGTGAACCTGAGATTGTGCACTGCACAGAAGAGGCTCCCCTTCTGTTCTCCGTGGTGCAGGCTCCCATTTTGCCACACGCTTCATCTCAAAAAGAAAGAAGAAAAAAAAAAAAAAAGAATTTCCCCTGAAAAAACCATCTGCAAGTATAAACCCTCTTTAGATTTGATCAGCACCCAGTAGGAACAGTAGCGCACAGTATACATTAAAGATGGTGACAGGAATAAATCCAATCAAAACCAAAGCAATGCTACTCAATCCTAGATCAGTACCGTTGTGTTAGGGGAAGGGTGTGGCCTTGGGACAGAATTCCTTTTCCTGGTATTGTCAAGGCAATCATTACCACCTTGAAACTGTTCTGGAGGGAATCAGAAGAGAGAAAAGGAATACTTTTCTTTCTGGGTGACTGATTTTTACTTAGTGCTTCGGCCATTGGGAAGTCATCTGTTTCTTTAGAGGTATTGCTTGCTCTCTAGGTTCCCTAGTCAAAGCGTTTCTCTACATCTCTGGATTGACTTCCGCTGGGTCTTTATCAAGGGGCGGACCAGAATGTAATTTTGCAAAAAGGGCGTGAACGGCAAATCTGTTCGCCCAGCGTCGTCCACTCGGTGGAGGAGCCGCCGGGTCTCGTTCGCCTCATTCTTGCCCAGAGGTCTTGACTTGCATCTCGGATGTGAGCCGGTGCTCAGTAAAGGAGGCCTGTGCTGGGGAGATGGAAGATGCAGCCGAAGGGGCCTCGGCGTTCGGTGAGAATCTACTCCTCCAGCGCGGTGTGCTTGGCACGTCCAACCGGCTCTCCGTTCCTGGCTTTCGTAGGTTTTACCCTGAACTCGCTGGCGTGGAGACCCTGCAGGCGAACCTGAGTGAAATGCAGTTTGTGTTTGTTTTTTCTTCGTGCATTGGCTAGTTGTAGGTAAAGCGCCACCATCCACGACGGCGGGCAGCCAGTCTCCCCCGGAAACGCCTGTGCTCACCCGCTCTTCCGCCCAAACTCCCGCGGCCGGCGCCACAGCCACCACCAGCGCGCCCTCCTCCGTCACCGTCACGGCCCCGGCCCCCGCCGCCGCAGGAAGCCCGGTGAAAAAGCAGAGGCCACTTTTACCGAAGGAGACTGCCCCGGCCGTGCAGCGGGTCGTGTGGAACTCATCAAGTAAGTTTCAAACGTCCTCCCAAAAGTGGCACATGCAGAAGATGCAGCGTCAGCAGCAGCAGCAGCAGCAGCAGCAAAACCAGCAGCAGCAGCCTCAGTCTTCCCAGGGGACGAGATATCAGACCAGACAGGCTGTGAAAGGTACCGAGCCTCCCCTTCTGTTCTCCGTGGCGCCCGCTCCCATTTTGCCACATCGACAGGAGAAAGTCATTGCTCTTTTATTTTATTTTTTTTTTTAGTTCTCGTGTGTTTTTCCTGGCCGTTGTATCTTGAAGGCCTCGCACATTCCGTTTGGCATTATTTTTAAAAATTGTTTTGCTACTTTTTTCCTTTGAAAAAATTTTTTTGTTCATTTTATAAATGATACATGCATATATTTCCTTGAAAAGAAACTTTTAGGAAGTTTTACATAAAAGTCTGTTGTCCCGTGTGCCTTCTATTTCATTCTCTTCCCTTCCACGGTGGCCAGTATCAACCGCTGTAAAAGCTTTTCTATGCATGTATGCATGTATATGTGTATATACATATCTGTATGTATATATGTGTGCGTCATGTATATGATGCCATAAAATTAGTCCTTTTTTCCCCCCTTTTTCTTTTTTGAAACATAAAAATGGTACCATACTTGCTTTTTTTTCCACCCATCAGCATGTCTTGGAGATTCATCCATGTCGGCACATACAGCCCCGCCTTGTTCTTTTGGACTGCTGCGTAGTATTCCATAGTTTATTTAAAGCATTCCCCTACGGATGGGGCATTTAGGTTGCTTTCAGTTTTTTCCTACTATAAGCAGTGCTGCAGTTAATATCTTTGTGTAAATGTCCTTGTGCACGTGAGGGAACCTCTTGGAGTTATTTTGGAAAAAGTACAGTGCAAGAAGTTGATAGCAAAGGTTACCTTAGTAACTAGAGATTTTGTCACACACGAAAGATGAGCCAGCCTCAAGAACCACTTGCTCAAGTTGCAGAATCAGAACTCCCACCAGCCCTGCAGGAAGCTCCATCTGGAGCTGAAATGAGGCCAGACACAGTGCTGATCTGACTGGTTGTTACCAGTTTGCCTGGCTTTTGTGAGCATTGATGTAGATCTCTTTCTACCAGGAAACCTGCATTTAGATCCTCAAAGGTTGGGTTCTTCAACTGAAACTCATAGTGCACCCTGTTAAGTGGGGCTCGTGAGTGGCAGGATGTGAGGTTAAAAGGTGGTTACCTCTGGAATTGGCCTCCAGTGAAACCCTTCAAAGATGGCAAGGGAGTGGGCCTTGAAAAATTGGACAGGCAAAATGAGAGTACAGTTGGATGAATTTTGCTGTTTAAAAAGTTGGTGGGGCAAAGCTGAGTCTAGGATATTTGAGACTGGGATTACTGCTTCCTGTCTTCTGTCTTCATGTCCTGTAAGCGGGAGGCTTCCCAGGGGAGTTTAATTGCTGCCAAGAAGAGGGTCGGGCATGGTGGTTCACGCCTGTCATCCCAGCACTTAGGGAGGCCGAGGCAGGCAGATCAGTTGGGGCTAGGAATTCAAGACTAGCCTGGCCAACATGGTGAAACCCCATCTCTACTAAAATGGGGGAAAAAAACCCCAAAAAACTAACCGGGCATGATGGCACATGCCTGTAACCTTGGCTACTCAGAAGGCTGAGGCATGAGAATCCCACGAACCTCGGAGGCGGAGGTTACATTGAGCTAGAATTGCACCATTGCACTCCAGCCTGGGTGACAGAACGAGACTGTGTCTCAAAAAAAAAAAAGGGCGGGGGGGGAAGAGTGCTGCCAAAAAGAGGCTGATTGCTTCAGATTGTCTTATGTCAAAATAGAGCCTAGTTAAAGGGGTAAAGACATTTAAATCGGTAATATACTACTATAATATAGGCAAGAGTCTAGCATGAACTGAAATTAACTTTGATTTGTACGGAGGTGACTGGGCATTTTGAAGGGAGAATGAGGGAGTAGGGATGGGAGCTAGTGGGGGTTTAATAGAGTCAGGGAAGTTAAACATCACAAAAGCAAGATGAGGGGTTGGTCTTTGTAAAACCCATCTCCTTTGCTAATAGGCACTTCATGAAGTTGGGCCCCTACTCCCCCATAGAGACTGGGTTGCTGAGGTCCTGTCTTCAGGTGTTGGCCGGAACAAAAACTCTCAGTTCTCTTGGCAGCATTGAGTTTTCCCAGACAGGCACTTTAAGTGGGGGTTGGGGTCATCCTAGAAATGCATTCTTGAGCTCTTAGAAACTGTCTTTCCTGGGCAAGGTTAGGGCCTAGTCAAGAAACCTGGATAGAGTTTGGTTGAGGGAACCATCTTTGTCATTTAAAAGTAGAAAAGCTCTCAGGACATATATTAGGGGCTTTGCTTCCACACCACAGCTCTGTGCTGGGACGGTTCCTTCCCACAATCGTGGGGTAATCAGGATGCTTTGCCTTCCTAGCTGTCCAGCAGAAGGAGATCACACAGAGCCCATCCACGTCCACCATCACCCTGGTGACCAGCACACAGTCATCGCCCCTGGTCACCAGCTCGGGGTCCACGAGCACCCTCGTGTCCTCAGTCAACGCTGACCTGCCCATCGCCACCGCCTCAGCCGATGTCGCCGCCGATATTGCCAAGTACACTAGCAAAGTGAGTGGATGGGAGAGCTGCCGTGGAGATGGCAGGCACCTGGCAGGATGCCAGAACCTCAGGCTCCTGAGGGGAAGCATTGGTGTCTTAACCTGGCAGGCTTTAGGGAGTGGTTAGGAGGGAAGACCCCCTCCCCCCTTTTTTTAACAGGCTCTCCCAAGACCCCATTCTTTCATTTGGGTCTAATGGAGAAGCGTAGAATGGTCTGACTCTTACTGCAAGTGGGCTTAGATTCTAAAGTCAGTTCATAAAGTGCAAATGACATATAATCAAAACTGCCTTTGAGAATTCACGTCACTCATTAGGGCACTGGAACACATGACTGATCCTTCAGTGAACAGCTGACCGGGGGTTTGCTTTGCATTTAGTAGACACGTGAAGTAGAAGTGACAGGAGACTTAAAATGCTGGCAAGGTGAGATGCCCACACTTTGATATTTCCAGGAATCAAGATGGATGGGGAGGGGACTGATTGGACCCCTCTCCCACCTTCCTGTCCTCTGGGGTACAACCCCCATTATGAGGCATGTGGGCAGGATTGCCTGTTGTGGTCAAACTCATGGGCACTGTCTCAGCACAGGCTCTTTTTTTCTCTTAATATGCCATCTACTTTTTTTTTTTTTTTTTTTTTCTTTGAGACAGAGTCTCACTCTGTTGCCCAGGCTGGAGTGCAGTGGCACCATCTTGTCTAACTGCATCCTCTGCCTCCTGGGTTCAAGCAATTCTCCTGCCTCAGCCTCCTGGGACTACAGTGTGTGCCACCAGGCCTGGCTAATTTTTATATTTTTCTAGTAGAGATGGGGTTATGCCATGTTGGCTAGGCTGGTCTCAAACTCCTGACCTCAGGTGATCCACCCACCATGGCCTCCCAAAGTGCTGGGATTACAGGTGTGAGCCACCGCTCCCGGCCTGCCAAGTGCTTTTATGGTCGTTGTTGAATTCTGGTAGATACCATCTGCAGTTCTCAGTGTCATGTGAGAGTGCCCTGGACGGATGTGCTGTGTATCCTGTCGTCATTAGACCATGGTAGTAATAACCACCAGAATGTCAGTTCCACAAGGGCAGGGATTTTGTCTGTTTTGCTCACTGCTAAGGCCTAGAACAGTGCCTGACATGCAGTAAATGCTTGACAGTTGGACTTTCTTTTTATTGGCCTTAAATATTATCAGTAACTTAACAATAGCTATTGATTTTACAATCTACTGAAATTATTTAGTAAATTACTAAGTAGGTAATAATAATTTATTCATTGATGAGTAGATTACTAATACTGATGAGTAAACAGTTCTAGTTTTTGGAAAGAATGATCGAAAATAGTTGTGTATGGTTGTTTCTAGAATTCTTTTTTTTTTTTTTTTTTTTTTAAATGCAGACAGTGTCTCCTTTTGTTGCCCAGGCTGGTCTCAAATTCCTGACCTCAAGTGATCTTCCTGCCTGGGCCTCCCAAGGTGTTGAGATCACAGGTGTAAGCCACCACGCCCAGCCTGTTTCTAGAAATCTTATAGTCTTAATGATAAAGAATTAGCTTTGTTATATTGAGTTGAAGGAAGAGGAATCTTTTTTGTTTCTGAATGGTGAGATAAATATATATGAATTTTTTTTTTTTACACAAATGAGTTTTCATTGGTCATGTTGCTTTTTATTCCTTCTATGTAGGCATAATTGTTAATGTTGCTGCAGAACAAATTACCACACAACTTAGCAGATTTACACAGCACATACGTTTATTATCTTACAGTGTTTGGGGGTCAGGAATCTGAGCACGGCTCCACGGGGTTCTCCGCTTCAGTATCTCTTGCAGCTGCAGTCAAGGAGTCTGCAAGGGTTTGGGACTCACACAAAGGCTTAACTGCAGAAGGATCCACTTTCAAGGTCACTTAGGTGGTGATGGGCAAGATTCACTTCCTTGAGGGCTGGTGGCCTGGGCCCCCCAGCATGGCAGCTTGCTTCATCAAAATCAGCAATGGAGGCTGGGCACAGTGGCTCACACCTGTAATCTCCGCACTTTGAGAGGCTGAGGTGGGTGCATTGCCTGAGCTCAGGAGTTCAAGACTAGCCTGGGCAATATGGTAAAACCCTGTCTCTACTAAAATACGAAAAATCAGCCTGGCATGATGGCATGCACCTGTAATCCCAGCTACTCAGGAGGCTGAGGCTTGAGCCCAGGAAACAGAGGTTGCAGTGAGCTGAGATCATGCCACTGCACTCCAGCCTGGGCAACAAAGTGAAACTCTGTCTCAAAAACCAGCAATGGAGAGAGGCTGCTGACAAGAGGGAAGTCACAGGCTTAGGGAGGCTAATCACAGAAGTGACACCCCATTACCTTTGCTGTATTCCATTGGCTAGAAGCAAGTTGCTAGGTCAGAGGGAGGGGATTATAGACAGGCATAAAGTATCAGTAAGTTGGGATCTTTGGGAGCCTACTTAGAGTCTGCCTTCCTTCCAGGTAAGGTGGCAGTATGTTTGCATAGCATTTACTCTGGGCTAGATGTTGTCCTCAGCACTTTTGGTATGTTACCTACTCAATCTTTATGGCAAATTGATGAAGTGTAGGTACTGTTATCACCCCAGTTTTACAGATGAGAAAACTGAAGCCCAGTGAGGTTACACAGTGTGTCTAGGTTCACAGGCCAGTGAACGGCCAAGCTGGAATTTGAAGGATAGCAGCCAGGCCCTAGAGAGTGTGCACTTAACCTGTCTGTGAGTGACTGTGCATTTCAGACAAGCCTGCTGACCACAAATGTTACTGGCCCACAAACTGTTGGCACATAACTTTTTAAAGCAACTCTTCTTCAGATTCAGTGTGGCTGTTTGAGCCAGTGGTTCACACTTGTAACTGCAGCACTTTGGGAGGCTTAAGTGGGAGGATCACTTGAAGCCAGGAATGTAAGACTAGCCTGGGCAACATACCGAGACCCTGTCTTTACAAATAAAAAAAAATTAGCTGGCCAGAGTGATACATAGTCCCAGCTGCTCTGGAGGCTGAGATGGCAGGATCACTTGAGCCCAGGAGTTTGAAGCTGCCGTGAGCTATGATTGCACCACTGCACTGGATGGATAGAGCAGTACCCTGTCTCAAAAAACAAAAAGGCTGGGTGTGGTGCTTATGCCTGTAATCCTAGCACTTCGGGAGGCTGAGGCAGGAGGATCACCTGAGGTCAGGAGTTCGAGACCAGCCTGACCAACATTGCAAAACGCCATCTCTATTAAAAATACAAAAATTAGCCTGGTGTGATGGTGGGCACCTATAATCCCAGGTACTCAGGAAGCTGAGGCAGGAGAATTGATTGAATCCAGGAAGTAGAGGTTGCAGTGAGCTGAGATTGTTCCACTTCACTCCAGCCTGGGTGAAAGAGCAAAACTTTGTCTCAAAAAAAAAAAAAAAAAAAGATGGGAAGGTTGTCCTGAGGTGTTGAAGGTATAACAGCACCAAATGGAGACTTTCTTGCTGAAGCGATCTATAGGATTATTAGGGAATTGAAAGGGGGTAATTTTTTCATTAATGATTTAAGCAGGTGTCTGGTGTTGCCTGAATGATCTCTTGTTCTGCCTTGGGTTGTCCCTTACATTACCTTCCATTGATTTGGTCCCAGCTGTTAGTTTATGAATGGGAAAGTAAGGCCTGCTGAGTGGATCAGATGAGTGGTTGGCACAAAGGCTGTTTTCTCAGCCCCTGCAGCCATGTTAATTTTGTTATCTTTTGCATCCCCCTTGTTCTTCAAAAAATTACTAAAAAAAAAAAATTTTTTTTGTTTTTTTAGAGTTGGGGGGTACCCTGTTGCCCAGACTGCTCTTAAACTCAAGTGACCCTCCCACCTTGGCCTCCCTAGGTAGCTGGGACTTCAGGCATGCAACACTGCCCCCAGCTCCCCGTGACTCTTTCAGCAATACTGAGGAATGACTTTGTAGGTTTTTTTTTTTTTTGGGAGACAGAGTCTCACTCTGTTGCCCAGGCTAGAGTGCAGGTGGCATGATCTTAACTCACTGCAACCTCTGCCTCCCAGATTCAAGCAATTCTCCCTCCTCAGCCTCCCAAGTAGCTGGAATTACAGGTGTCTGCCACCATGCCTGACTAATTTTTATGTTTTTAGTAGAGATGGGGTTTCACCATCTTGGCCAGGCTGGTCTTGAACTCCTGACCTCAAGTGATCCACCTACCTTGGCCTCCCAAAATGCTGGGATTTTAGGTGTGAGTCACTGTGCCTGGTCAGGAATGACTTTTTTGATAGGTGTTTTCTTTGCAGTTAAAAAAAAACAAAAAACAAAAAACAGTAACATTTTTTGGGAGCTGATGAACTTTTCCCGCTTCTGAGGTGCCCTGGAGTGGAAGACGAAGATCTGTGTGTTTTGGCAGAGTGGTATTCTTTACTGATGTCAAAGTCTTTGCTATATTTGGAAGTTAAGAGTAAAAGGCAGTCCACGAATGCATGATATCTTTGAAATGGAATGTGACCATTGCATTAGCAGTGTATTGAATTTCATACACTTTCTAAAGTTTTCTTGTAAAGCCATTTAGTTGTAATTTAAAAAATGGACATGGGTGGGTGCCACAGAGCAAGGAGGCAGGCGCAGGAGGATGGTAAAGCCACGGAAAGTGCGGTGTTACTGCTGGCAGCAGCGGGGTGTGGGCTCTGCAGCAAGCCGGGAGCGGAAATCTCAACAGAGATTTTATTTATTTTACTCCCATTTTGGGGTGAATGTGGGTTATTTTGGGGATTGGCAGCAGTCACACAATTGCATACTTATATGAATGTATTTTTCTTTAAAAATAAGATGAATGGATATTTCTTTGAGACGGAGTTTCACTCTTGTTGACAAGAGTGGAGTGCAATGGTGCAATCTGGGCTCACTGCAACCCCTGCCTCCGAGGTTCAAGCAATTCTCCTGTCTCAGCCTCCTGAGTAGCTGGGATTATAGGCACCCGCCACCATGCCTGGCTAACTTTTTTATTTTTAGTAGAGGTGAGGTTTCACCATGTTGGTCAGGCCGGTCTCGAACTCCTGACCTCAGGTGATCCACCTGCCTTGCCTCCCAAAGTGCTGGGATTACAGGTATGAGCCACTGTGCCTGGTGAATGGATATTTCTTTATGATCACCTACTCGCAGGTACGGAGCCACAGTCTTTGCATGGTTTTTTTGTTTAAGGCTTGTGCACACCCTACCAGGGGGACATACAGTTCTCCTTGTTTTTGCATGGGGAAACCGAGGCTGAGAGGCTATGGATGGTGAGGCATCAGATATGAGGCTGGTCTTTGTCCTGCCTTCTTCCTGAATTGCAGCATCTGGAAAGTGCTGGAGAGACTCAGCAGCAGTCAAGCCAGGCCCGAGACAGAGCCTGATCTCTTGTCCCCTCCTCTTTCTGCTGTGATGGGTGAAGGGCCAGCCGGCAGGTGGGAGGTAGGAGAGAAATTCATCCTACGAACACATTCAGTCAGCAAACTCCTGGGTGCCTGCTGCATGGACCTTAGCTGATGTCACCAACTGGCTGATGCCTTCAGGGGTCAGATAGTTAAAGAAAAAGAAGATGGGGAATGAATTGCAAAGACAATGCCCTGACTGAAGGCATTAAAATGACAAACCACCCATATCTGTACAATGGACTATAAAAAGGAATGAAGTTCTGCTTGTCTGGCGCAGTACGGATGTGTGAGTCACAGAGGACCTTGAGTTGTGTGATTCCTTTTATGTGAAATGTCCAGACTGAGCAAATGCAGAGAGACAGAAAGCAGATCAGTGGTTGTCAGGGGCTCGGGAGGAGGGGATAGGATGCTGGGAGGTGAAGACTAAGTGAGGGGAAGTGGGATTTTCTTTTTGGGGTAATAAAAATGTTGTGAAATTGATTGTGGTGATAGATACACAACTCTGAGGTACTAAAAGCCATCGAATTGTACACTTGAAATGGATGAATGGTGTGGTATATGCATATACCTCACTAAAATGGTACTGGTTTTTTAAGGGGAAAGAATGAAAATGACAACAAAGTAATCCCTCTCTTGAACCTACAGTGTTGGCCAAATAAAAGACATCTTGGGGCCGGGTGCAGAGGTTCCAGCACTTTGGGAGGCCAAGGTGGGTGGATTGCTTGAGGTCAGGAGTTAAAGACCAGCCTGACCAACATGGGAAACTGTGTCTCTACTAAAAAAGCCAAAAAAAAAAAAAAAAAAAAAAAAAAGCCAGCCATGGTGGCATACACCTGTAATCCTAGCTACTTGGGAGGCTGAGGCAGGAGAATTGCATGAACCTGGGAGGCAGAGGTTGCAGTGAACCAGGATCGCCCACTGCACTCTAGCCTGGGTAACAAAGCAAGACTCCATCACACACACACACACACACAATCTGCACAATCTGGGGGCCACATTTGGCCTCTCCTGTTTCAGCTTGTGGGTGTGGAAACTAGCTTTATGGTTGTGAAGTGCTACCACCATCCGATACAGGGAATTCGATGGAGATTCTTATCCTGTTAATGCCAGGGTTTTTCATTCTCAGTGCTGATGACATTTGGGGCTCATAGGTGGTTGGTTGTTGGGCAGGGGCCTTCTGTGCATTTAGCATGGTTCAGGCAGGAAGTTTAGCCGCGTCCCTGCCTCCACCCTCTAGAGCCAGTAGCAGCCCCTTCTCCTTACTCCTGCACCAGTCATGACAACCAGGAATGCCCAGTGTCTTGTGAGGGACAAAATTGCCATGAGTGGAGAACCTCTGCTATATACAGACAGATTTTAGGTATTTGTCACCTGGAAAAGCCTCCGAGAAATGATCAGCTGAATTGTTGCTGTTTTTATCTTTCAGATGATGGACGCAATAAAAGGAACAATGACAGAAATATACAACGATCTTTCTAAAAACACTACTGGAAGCACAATAGCTGAGGTCAGAGATGACACATGAATTCCTTATTTGCTAAGAGTGTTTTATGGGCCGCTGTAAAGGTGGTACCATGAAGAAGCTTCTCTGGAAACCCCGCTTGGGCCCTGACTGCGGTTACCAGGCTGGCTCTACTGATTGTGAATGTTGATGGGGGTATTTTTTCCTTTAGCCAGATGGCTGGGGCTGTGGAGACATGCCCTGCTTTGTGTGATCAATTCATTTCTAATTAACAGCCAAAACTGGAGCCTCAGTTCACCTAGTGGTGAAATTGGACACCGGTTCTTTTAGCTTTGCGTAAAACTGGCTCCTGCATTTTCTCTGTAAGTTCGGACTTTTTAATACAAGTGCTTCTTATGGTTCAAGAATTTGTATACTGGAGTCTCCATAATTATGTGATTGCCTAGAGAAGAAAGTGGTTAAAACACTTCATTGGCTGGGCATGGTGGCTGTAATCCCAGCGCATTGGGAAGCTGTGGGAGAATTGCTTGAGGGTAGGCGTTTAAGACTAGCCTGCGCAACGTAGTGGAACCCTGTTTCTGCAAAACTATTTAAAAAACAAGTAGGAGATGTTGGTTCCTGGAGGAAGCTGAGGCAGGTGGATTGCTTGAGCCCAGGAGTTTGAGGCTACAATAAGTCATGATTGTGCTACTATATTCTAGCCTGGGTGACAGAGTGAGACCCTATCTCTTAAGGAAAAGAAAAAAATTAAGCTATCCACTTACAAAATGTCCACTTATAAAAATATACCTCCCCTGAACTTCCCCTTTAGGCTAATTCCCTATCAGGGCTTGGAGTGTGGGCCACTTGTTGGTTGTCTGTGGATGGTACAATGTGAGCCAGATGTAAACAGGTTATCAGGTGAAATGACAAGTGGCAGGACTTTCAGAGGTCTCATATCGAAGGTGACATTGGAGAACTGTGGGAATCCTTTGCAGAGCCATTGACCTTTTAGGACTTGGCAGCATTAGGCTGGTGCTTAGGTGAAGAGGAGAAAATCTTCAGGAAGGCGACCTAGTGGTCCCTTCAACAGAAAACATTATGAATGCAAAGATTTAAGAGAGGCCCAAGAAAAATCAAGGAATCCCCTTGAATAGTTTTGCAAATATGACCTTCTTTATGATTATACTTGGGACATCAAATAAGAAGGGATAAAAATAATGCTTTAGAAACACCTTCATTCTTGTTTGTACATTGTAAGAATTGGGGTGTGATTAAAAATACAGGTTCATGGCTGGGTGTGGTGGCTCATGCCTGTAATCCCAGCACTTTGGGAGGCTGAGGAGGGCGGATCACGAGGTCAAGAGATTGAGACCATCTGGCCAACCTGGTGAAACCCCGTCTCTACTAAAATACAAAAATTAGCGTAATCCCAGCTTCTCAGGAGGCTGAGGCGGGAGAATTGCTTGAACCCAGGAGACGGAGGTTGCAGGGAGCTGAGATTGTGCCACTGCACTCCAGCCTGGTGACAGAGCAAGACTCTGTCTAAAAAAAAAGAAAAAATGGGTTCATAATATTTTACCTGAAACCTTGGGTCCGGATGTATGCCAGAATTTTTTGGATTTTAGAGAGGTAATATGCAGTCCCCCACAATTAGAGACACCATTTCTGCAGTGAAATGTGATTGTTCACACTACATGAATAAATCAGGTTTCCTCAGCCTTAGCACTACTTTGCATCAGGTGAGTGTCTGTTGTGGGGCTGCTCTGCACGTTGTAGGATGTTCAGCAGCATCTCTGTCCTCTTCACACAGATGGCAGTAATGCTGCTCAGTTGTGACAACCACAAATGACTCCAGACATTCTCATGGCAGGGCAGAGTACGCGAAATTGCCCCAGTTGAGAACCACTGTGATAATTAAACACTGTTCGTTACTATTTTTTTAATTAATTTTTTTGAGACAGAGTGTCGCCCTGTCACCCAGGTTGCTGCACAGCGGCATGATCTTGGCTCACTGCAACCTCCACCTCCTGGGTTCAAAGATTCTCGTGCCTCAGCCTCCCAAGTACCTGGGATTACAGGCATGTGCCACCGTGCCTAGTTAATTTTTTTTTAAAGATGGGGTTTCACCATGATGGCCAGGCTGGTCTTGAACTCCTGACCTCAGGTGATCCACCCACCTCAGCCTCCCAAAGTGCTAGGATTACAGGGGTGAGCCACTGCGCCCGGCCAAAACACTGTTTAATTAGTTTTCTATTAGATCAGGTCAAGTTTATTTTTTTATTTTCCCTTCTAAATGAGTTTGGCCCCAAAGTGACACCTCCCCTACCCAGAAATACCCTTTGGTTTTCAGAGATGTCCGGCTTTGGAATTGTAGGTGAGTAAGTATGGATGCTAAATGGTCCCCCATGTTGTTATGTAAGAGGAAATCTAGCTATCTTTGTTTCATATTTAAAGACCAAAATCCTAATCAAACCTTTAACATTATCTATATGAAAGTCTGGTCCTTGTCACTTTAAGTGGCTTCTCCTCGTGCCAGTATTTCTTGGAATCAATGGCCTGTGTATACTTGGTTTTCTGAACCAGTGTTTCTGATGACTTTGGGTTCACCCACTGGTCACCTCTCTGGACTATAGCTGTGGGAAGGTTAGCATGAGTCCCATACTCCTTACAGCCAGCCATGGCTGAGCTGCTGGGCCCTGCTGGTGAATTGCATGAGGCAGCTTTTTAAGAGTCTTGTTCTCCCTCTTCCAGATCCGCAGGCTGAGGATCGAGATAGAGAAGCTCCAGTGGCTGCACCAGCAAGAGCTCTCTGAAATGAAACACAACTTGGGTAAGGCCTGACACACTGGTCTAAATGGAGGGGGGTTTTGAGTGTGAACTTCTTTGCACCTCTGTAGTCAAGCCCAGATGTGAGTGCAATTAAAACTAGGCTAGGATTGTATGACTTACAGGGAGAACTTACAGACTCCTGAGAGTCTGGCCTGGAGAAACCAGGTGTAAGAGCTGGTATGTTGGTGGGATCCCCACTTTCCTCTGTTTTAGAACATCAGCTTCAACAATAAAATGATGAGGATTGGTCAGACACAGCAGCTCACACCTGTAATTCCAGCCCTTTGGGAGGCCCAGATGGGAGGATTGCTTGAGCCCAGGAGTTCGATTCCAGCCTGGGTAATCTGGCGAAACCCCATCTCTACACAAAACTTTTAAACCATTAACTGGGCCTGGTAGTGTGTGTCCTTGTTCCCAGCTCTTTGGGAGGCTGATGAAGGAGGATCACTTGAGCCTGAGAAGTTGAGGCTGCAGTCAACTATGTACCACTGCACTCCAGCCAGGGCAAACAAGCAAGACCCTATCTCAAAAAAATAAAAAGTAGGCTGGGGGGGGGGTGGCTCATGCCTATAATCCCAGCACTTTGGGAGGCCGAGGCGGGTGGATCACGAGGCCCAGAGATCGAGACCATCCTGGTCAACATGGTGAAACCCCTTCTCTACTAAAAGTACAAAAATTAGCCGGGCATGGTGGCACATGCCTGTAGTCCCAGCTACTCGGGAGGCTGAGGCAGGAGAATTGCTTGAACCCAGGAGGTGGAGGTTGTGCTGAGCTGAGATTGCGCCACTGCACTCCAGCCCGGGTAACAAGCGAAACTCCGTCTCAAAAAATAAAAAGTAAATAAAACAACAAGGATCACTATAGTAGCTCCCGCTCGTGAAGCTTATAACTTTGTACAGAAACCACTTTAAATACTTTTTCATGAATTCACTAATTTTATTACAGAAACTCTGGTGATAAAGGGATCTGTTAGATCCCTGGTTTTTGTTTTTCCTTTTTTTTTTTCTCCCACACCTGCATGCCATGGACATATCCATCCCCATCCCCACCCCCACCCCCACCCCCACCCCCGCCATTTTCAAGTGAAGAAACTAACATGTTGAGGAAGTTGTTGAAAGTCACGTGGCCACAGTTCAAGTCTAGGCAGTCTTCACCCTGTTCATTGAATGCTGGGCACTTAACAACATCTGGATGCTTCCCATGCACCGCTCAGTGTGGAGAAAGATACTTCATTGGTCCCTGGGTTAGATAGACAGAGGTTTTGGCCCGTCATTCTGTATAGATAAGCTTTTCCCCAAAGGTAGGAGCGATTGCTTCAGACCCTCACATAGTATCAGACAGGTTGCTGGCAGCCAGCAGGAAAACTCTTAAATTGGGGACCCAGGCCCGAGTGTGCCTTCCGGCTCACCTGTGGTCTGCATCTAAGCCACACCTTACAGACTTCAATCCCTTCAGAGCTGCCTGGAGAGGAGCCCGTGGTTCATTCTTTCTAGACACTTATTTAGATGTTGCTTCTTCTCGTTTTCCTTTTTTTTTTTTAAGGCAGAGTCTCACTCTGTCTTCCAGGCTGGAGAGCAGTAGAGCAATCTCGACTCATTGCAGCCTCTGCCTCCCAGGTTCAGCCTCCCTAGGAGCTGGGATTACAGGTGTGTGCCACTATGCCTGGCTGAGTTTTGTACTTTTAGTAGAGATGCGAAAGGGGTAGAATAGTAGTACTTATCCTGTAGGATTATTAGGATGAGGATGGCGTGAGTTAATAGTTACAAAGTACATAGAACAGTGCCTCCATGTAGTAGGTGCTATATAGGTATTTGGTAGGGGGAGAAAGCCTTATGTTAATGAATCATCGGCTGGAAAGTGAGTTTAGTGGTGGCTGTTTCAAGGGTTACTTTGAGGAATTCCCAGAATGTAGTCTGGGGTTGAAAATCCCCTGGGGGGGTTATCTCCACTCTGGGCACCTCACATTCACTCTCAACAGGCAGCGCCATCTGGTCACTATGATGAACGTCCTGTTTATAGATGAAGACTCCAGCTAGGTTACTGCCCACACGTACACAGACAGGGCTTTTCCCAGTGGGGTCTTGCACCCTTGTCTGCCTGAATCTGGGGACAGGAATAGCCCCGTGTCCCAGGCTGGGGTCAGGTGATGAGCGTTCTTCCCCTCCTCCACCAGAGCTGACCATGGCGGAGATGCGGCAGAGCCTGGAGCAGGAGCGGGACCGGCTCATCGCCGAGGTGAAGAAGCAGCTGGAGCTGGAGAAGCAGCAGGCGGTGGACGAGACCAAGAAGAAGCAGTGGTGTGCCAACTGCAAGAAGGAGGCCATCTTTTACTGCTGTTGGAACACCAGCTACTGCGACTACCCCTGCCAGCAAGCTCACTGGCCCGAACACATGAAGTCCTGTACTCAGTCAGGTAATGCCCCATGGGGCTGCCTTCTGTTCTGGGCTGCAGTGGCTGGGCTTTGGTCTCTCCTGTGGACCTCAGGGGTCACGGCTGATTGACCAGGGAGCTTGCCTGGCTCCTGGACACTCTCACTCAAAAACAACTGTGTTTCTTCTGGTGAGCAGTGTGCAGGCGCATAGCTGGGCAGATGCATAGCTAAGTCATGAGCCATGGGCACTTTGAACCTTTGATCTTTGTAGAACCCTTGATCTCTTCTGAGGCCTAAAATGTCAGTAGTATTGAGGTTGAGACACTTTTTTTTTTTTGGCAGTAATGGACTTGTGGCTTTAAATAATAGGGATTTCCAATTTCTTTAAGTAAAAAGTGTTGGTTTGGAACCTGTGTTTTACACTGCTGTAAGGCCGGACGCGGTGGCTCAAGCCTGTAATCCCAGCACTTTGGGAGGCCGAGGCGGGTGGATCACGAGGCCAAGAGATCGAGACCATCCTGGTCAACATGGTGAAACCCCGTCTCTACTAAAAATACAAAAAATTAGCTGGACATGGTGGCGCGTGCCTGTAATCCCAGCTACTCAGGAGGCTGAGGCAGGAGAATTGCCTGAACCCAGGAGGCGGAGGTTGCGGTGAGCCGAGATCGCGCCATTGCACTCCAGCCTGGGTAACATGAGTGAAACTCCGTCTCAAAAAAAAAAAAAAAAAAAAAACTGCTGTAATATTTATAATCAACCTTTCCAACCATAGAACAAGCAGTCCTCAGGCCTGGAGCCTCCAGCAGGAAGCACTATCTAGTTAGAATTTATCAATATTATTTTATAAATTATTACTTTTAGACAGAGTTTCGCTCTTATCCCCCAGGCTGGAGTGCAGTGGTGCGATCTTGGCTCACTGCAACCTCCACCTCCTAAGTTCAAGTGATTTTCCTGCTTCAGCCTCCCGGGTAGCTGGGATTACAGGCACATGCCACCACGCCCAGCTAATTTTTGTATTTTTAGTAGATAGAAATTTTTGTATTTCACCGTGTTGGCCAGGCTGGTCTTGAACTCCTGACCTCAAGTGACCTGCCTGCCTTGGCCTCCCAGAGTGCTGGGATTACAGGCGTGAGCCACCATGCCCAGCCCGTAAGTTATTTTTTACAATTAGCTTTTATTTATGGCAAATGATACTACATTTGTATGCTTGGAATTAAACACTTCCATTTTAAAGAATTTCAAGTGTCACACAAATAATACAATCAGGTAGTATGTCTGCAGATTGGCAAAATTTGCAAAGGTGGTGTGTAAATGACTCAAGTGTGAGAACCTTGACCAGAGGTTGAGTGAATATTTTAGGCTTTGTACACCATGTGGTTTCTGTTGCTACTACGTAACTCTGCTGTTAGTGCAGAAGCAGCCATAGGTGAAATGTAAATGGATGGACGTGGCTGTCCGCCAGTAAAACAGAGTCCTTGCTTGCCAGCTCTTGCTCTAGAAAAATCTGTTATTATTTTTAAATGGCAATATTGGAGCATACCTTGCTCTGTTCTTCAGTCTTCAGGGAGATGTCTTCTTTGTAGACACTTTTGCCCTCTTCCTGGAGTGAAGTCTCCTTGTGTTTTCCCTAAGTTCTGGAATGTGTCTGATGAGCCTTTTGCTGTTTTGCCAAGATGGCCAAAGTGTCTTTCAGGCCTTCCTTTTTCTGTGACATAATTATGTCTGTTCTTCCTAAATTCCTCCCAAACGCCCTGTTTTTCTGTGTATCCAAGTTTCTGCCACCTCCAGATGCTCTGGGCCTCTGACAGCATGTCGCCTGTCATGTGGTTTTCCTGTCCCACCTTAGAAGGAAGCAAGTCCCTGGGGCTGAAAATCCAGGTCTCCACCTAGAAGTGATTAAATAGAGTAACTCTAAATTGGCAGTTGTAGGCTGGCTCTTGTTAATGGGCTTAATTTGTTCCAAGAATATATTTTCATCTCCAGAATGATTTAATAAAACTTGAATTGCTAACCATTAAAAATCAACATGTTGACTGGGAGTGGTGGCTCACACCTGTAATCCCAGCACTTTTTTTTTTTGGGAGGCCAAGGTGAGCAGGTCACTTGAGGTCAGGAGTTCAAGACCAGCCTGGCCAACATGGTGAAACCCCGTCTCTACTAAAAATACAAAAATTAGCCAGGTGTGGTTGTGGGCACCTGTAGTCCCAGCTACTTGGGAGGCTAAGAGGAGAATCACTCGAACCTGGGAGATGGAGGTTGCAGTGAGCTGAGATCATATCACTGCATTCCAGCCTGGGAGAGAACAAGATTCCATCTCAAAAAAAAAAAAAGTAAAATCATGTGTATGTTAAAATTTGGAATTCCAACTTCTGGAAAATTCTGGTAATCTACCTCCCTCGAGCCTACACCTTACGCCCTGGGTAGGGCTAAGCCTTGGGTGAAGGACGGAGCTCCAGGCATGTTTCAAAATCATCATATTGTGTGTACATGTGACGTTTCTGCCTCTCCTTTGTACCCAGCTACTGCTCCTCAGCAGGAAGCGGATGCTGAGGTGAACACAGAAACACTAAACAAATCATCCCAGGGGAGCTCCTCGAGCACACAGTCAGCACCTTCAGAAACGGCCAGTGCCTCCAAAGAGAAGGAGACGTCCGCTGAGAAAAGCAAGGACAGTGGCTCGGTGAGGATCCCCCCCATGACTTTGGCTGGTGACATCAACCCTTTGTGCCAAGTGGACTTAAGACCCCGTGTCTGCCACCCCTGAATGTTTTATGTTGTGGGAGGCTTGTCTGGAGGAATGCAGAGTCTTAACAGTGTGCCAGAATTTCTAGTGGATGTGTGGGAATATGGAGCCCGAACTGGTGTATGTGGGACCTGGCACCTGCCCCCCAGTACTCTCCCCTGGGGACTCTCAAAGTGTAGAATAGTGTTGCACAGAACTTTCTGTGATGAAGGAAATGTTCTGTACCTCCCATCCATATGGTAGCTGCTAGCCACATGCAACTTTTGAGCACTTGAAATGTAGCTAGTGTGAGCCAGGACCTGATTTTACAATTTAATTTAATATCAATTAATTGCGATTTCAGTAGCCACATGTGGCTAGTGGCAGCCATATTGGGCCATGAAGGTTTCACCTCCTTGTTTGCCAGGGTGTGATGTATGTGACATTGATGGTATGCAGACTATTTTCATGAGTATATAGTTTTTTACAGTTTTTAGTTATTGTATATCTATTTCAGTGAATATTAGGAAAAAGATAAATCATTAGACTGTCAAGTTAAAACATGTTTTCACTGGTAGTATTGCCTAATCAGAGACTAGCATCAATTAAAAGCAAACTGATTGATAGAATTTTGAAGTAATATACCTTCTTTGTGGACAGGGCAAAAATCTGGAGAGGGATCTGTTAGTGGAGTTCAGGGAACACTGAATGTTGGAGGGTTCTAGAGTGGAGTCAGGGGTCACCCCGGTGCTGTGTTCCAGCCTGTTCATGTGGGAGATGGCACCAGGGTTTGGCCACCTGGCCGCCCTGTGCCCATCACTCCCACCAGACCGTGCCAGGCAGAGGGCACTGAGATGCTTTGGGGGCAGTGATGGAGCACCCTCGTGGCTCCCTGGGTTTCCCTGCGGGGACTCCATTGGCCTCAGTGCCTTGAGTTCATCTTTTTCTTCTTGTATTTCTAGACCCTCGACCTTTCTGGCTCCAGGGAGACGCCCTCCTCCGTTCTCTTGGGCTCCAACCCAGGCTCTGGTATGTTGCCCCCTTGTGGGCGAACTATGCTTTCACATTTCAGATGGGCAGTTGGGGAGAATTTGAAGGGTTTATTCCAATGGTTTCCAAACGATTACGGATCCTTAGGGGTGGCTGGGGTGGGTTAGTGGGGGGTGAGGAGGTAGTTGAGCATGTTAACTTTCGAGTACCTCTCCAAGCTGATCAGTATTACCAGATGTATTTACTCGGGATCCACATAAAACTCTGGACAGAGGGTTCTGTTGCTGACCTGGGGTGGGGTAGAAGTGCATTTGGACTGGGTAGTCTTTTTGCTCTCGGGGAAGAAATGAGCATGGTAAAAGTCGTGATTGAGAGGTCTTAACACCTGTGTCTGGTAGATGAAGGCGTTCAAGCCTTTGAGAAATGAAGGCAGTGCTTAGGTGAATGATCTTTCTGTAAAATCCTTTGCTTTTGGGGAAATCTTCTGAGACTTGACATCGGGAGTTTTTCTTCTGTGAGGTTTGAGCCGTTTTCCTTTCCTAGACCAAAGTGTCTTTTTCCTGCACTTTCTTAAAGCAGTTTTAGGTGACTGCAGAAGGGTTCAGAGAAGGTGCCTTCCTGGAGGAAGACAGTTTTACTTCATTCAGAGTTTTTGCCTGGCACCACAGCTCTAGAACCTTTCTGCTTGCTGATTCTTTTTTTTTTGAGACAGTGTCTCACTGTCACCCAGGCTGGAGTGCAGTGGTGTGATCTTAGCTCACTGCAACCTCCCTCTCCCAGGTTCAAGTGATTCTCCTGCCTTAGCCTCCTGAGTAGCTGGGATTATAGGCGCACACCACCACGCCCAGCTAATTTTTGTATTTTTAGTAGAGATGGGGCTTCACCATGTTGATCAGGCTGGTCTTGAACTCCTGACCTCAGGTGATCCACCCTCCTTGACCTCCCAAAGTGCTGGGATTACAGGCTTGAGCTACCATGCCCAGCCCTTCCTCCTCCTTCCCCCTTCCCTTCTTCCCCCTACTTCTTTCCTCCCTCCCTCCTTTTGATAGAGTCTTGCTCTGTCGCCCAGGCTGGAGTGCAGTGACATGATCTCAGCTCACTGCAACCTCTGCCTCCGCGGTTCAAGTGACTCTCCTGCCTCAGTCTCCTGAGTAGTTGGGATTACAGGCGTGCATCACCAAGTCCAGCTAATTTTTTCTGTTTTTACTAGAGACAGGGTTTCACTGTATTGGCCAGGCTGGTCTTGGACTCCCGACCTCAAGTGATTCACCCACCTTGGCTTCCCAAAGTGTTGGGATTACAGATGTGAGCCACCGCGCCTGGCCAGACACCTGTGTTCTGATCCAAGTTCTTTTTTTTTCCATCAGCTTATGATTCCACCGTCCACGGTGGCCATTTCTCAAGTTCTCTGCTCTGTTGAGGACCTCCCTGCACCTCGCGCTGCATCACCTGCCCTCTGCGGGGCTTCCGTGGCACTCTGTCCTTCCCTTCTGACATTCAAAGGCATCCGCATCCTTTGTTGTAGCCAGATTTGTCACTCTGTACTGCTTTTCTTCCTAGGCACTTTAATATTCTCATGTATCTCCAAGTGCCTTCCTTGACACCTTGCATCTCCAATAGAACGTTCTGTGACAGTGGCCATGTTCTTTTATTTGCAGTGTCCACTATGGTAACCACTAGCCACATGTAGCTACTGAACCCTTGAACGGTGGCTAGTGTCGCTGAGGAATGGAATTTCACATTGTATCTGATTTTAGTGGTTACCATATTGAATGGCACAGCTCAAGACCCATCCTGTCTCCTTCCTCAACCCAGTTAGATGTCTCTCCAAGGGTGGTTATTCTCGAGCTAGGTGCACTGGTAGTCCCAGCTACTTGGAGAGGCTGAGGCAGGGGGTCACTTGAACCTAGGAGTTTTGAAGCTGCCATGAGTGCCTGTGACTAGCCACTGCACTCCAGCTGGTCAACAGAATGAGACTTCATCCTAAAAAAAAAAAGCTGGGTGCTGTGGCTCACGCCTGCAATCCCAGCACTGTAGGAGGCCGAGGCGGGTGGATCATCTGAGGTTGGGAGTTTGAGACCAGCTTGACCAACATGGAGAAACCCCCGTCTCTACTAAAATACAAAATTAGCTGGGCATGGTGGTGTGTGCCTGTTATCCCAGTTACTTGGAAGGCTGAGGCAGGAGAATCACTTGAACCTGGGAGGCAGAGGTTGCAGTGAGCTGAGATCACGCCATTGCACTCACATGCTCCACTGCTCATAGGACACAGTTTCTATTCTGAACTCCACTGTCCCCCTAAATCATTAACAGGCCTGCACATTTTTATTTTTAAATGTTGTTTTGAAACCTTTTTTGTTCTTAAGAAACAGGAGTTGCCCAGGCTGGCCTTAAACTTGGCCTGAGATCAAAGGATTCTCCCACCTCAACCTCTTGAGTAGCTGGGATCACAGGCATGTGCCACCATGGTCAGCAGCAGAGATTTTTCTTAAAAGATGACCGGATTGGCTAGAATCATGGTATCTTCATGTCAGAAAGGGCCTCCTCTCCAGGTTTTGGATAAAGATTGAGGTGCACCCAGGGCTACACTAAAAGAGATTCAGCACCACATTTAGGTCAGGTGTGGTGTCTCTTGCCTGTAATTCCAGCACTTTGAGAGGCCAAGGCGGGCGGATCATTTGAGGTCAGGAGTTTGAGACCAGCCTGACCAACATGGTGAAACCCTGTCTCTACTATAAAAGCACAAAAAATTAGCTGGGTGTGGTGATGCCCCTCTGTAATCCCAGCTACTCAGGAGGCTGAGGCAGGAGAATTGCCTGAACCCAGGAGGTGGAGGTTACAGTGAGCCCATATCCCACCACTGCATTACAGCCTGGGTGACAGAGTGAGACTTTGTCTCAAAAACAAGAGATTTAGTTCCACATTTAGGACTTGGAAAGAGGCTAGGGAAGAGTCTCATCAGCACAGTGAGAGCACCATGGAGCCCATGGTCAAACTGGCAGGAGAAGTACCTTTTGCAGTCAGCGCTGCAGTGATTCTCAGCGGGTGAGAAGCGGCAGGGAGGCCTCAGGGGCCTGTGCGGGAATGCAGTGTCAGTCTTCTGGAGTTTCTCACCAAAGCAGTTTGTGTTGACGGGTCACATCAAAGCAGAAAGACTTCCTCAGTTTTGATTCCCTTCTAATTAATTCCTCATCCGTCTCACTTTACTTCTGCCAGCACTTCTTTCTGGTGATAGTGCACGTTACCTATCCAGAGGGAACATGAATTTTAAAAACATCAAGGCTTCTGAGCTATTTTTGTACATGAATTACTAGGACGGTACATCTATGGTCGAGTTGGAATGGAGAGAATTTTAGTAGGTTATGAGCTCCCCTTAGTACGTGGGCCTGGGCCTCTCCTGTTCGTCTTTTAATTTTAAGCTTTTAGTCAAAGCTATATATGCATAGAGTTGCAGAGAATAAAATAGTTCAGGGAGAAACTCTTCCTAGTTCTAGTTTACACTGCTGTTTCTGGTCCTCCTTGCTAATAAATAATGTACTTGCCTGTACCTCTACTTCTTGACTTTAGCTATTACTTGTTGACTTCCAGCTTTAAAAGATGGGAATTGCTCTTCCCTTCCTCTTCCCACACTACTGACATTACTATTTTATGTGCTGTTTGGGTTACCTTGCTCCAATAAAACACTTGCCCCCTTAGCTTTTTTGTTTTGGCAGCTACAGACAGTATCCCTTGACCCCTCTTGGCAGCACATCTTTTCCTTACCTCTCCCACCCCTCTGAGAGCCAGGCTTCCCACCGGCCCTGACTTTCCCATTTTCAAGGTTGAGAACGTGTACATTCTGTTCTATAACTGCCCTTAAGCCTCACTCTTGTCTGTTGGCTTAGTCTAAAAAGTTGCAATGTGACAATTCTTAACTTACAAGACCATATATATCATTCATGGCGGAGTCACATAGTGTACTATGATTACATTTCCATTCTTTTACAGCCTTACTTCTTCCTGGAGTTTCAATTTTCTCCCTTGTCTTACTTTCAGTTTTCCTACCAAACTTCTCACCGTATCAGTTATTTATGCTGACTCCTTTCATATCACTGTTTTTGGACTCTCTGATTTCAGATGTGATTTGTTGGTGTCCTGCCATTGTAGCTGAGAATTTAATTTCCTTGCCACCTCATCCAGAGCCCCTTCCTCCATCCCCTTCACCACGTGTGCCTTCTCCATCCTCTCCTCCCTATTCTGTTATCACTGTGGGCAGTCAGTTAGTTATTACTTGCCTTAAATTGTCTGGATTTCTCGGGTGGTGCCTTCAACCCGAGCATGTTTCTAGTGCCTGCCTCTGTTTCCCATGGTTAAGTTAGGCTATTTGTAGAGCCAGTGGTTCTGAGAAGTTGTGGCTTACACAAATGCCGAGCTGCTTTTATGTCACTGTATACCTTATTTCCTACCTGTAATGCTGTGCTGTGTCCAGTGATCCAGTTTGTGGTTTGATACGCATTTTTTAGTCTCCTGTGCTTTGCATTAAGTTGGACAATGGTGACATGAATGAAGGTGCCATCTGGTTCTAATAATAGCCTGTTGATGAACAAAAATAGTAAGCACTCGGGGGTGTGCGGAATTCCAGCTCTCTCACAGACTCTGAGGCTACCTGTGCTATCTCTTCAGTTAGCAAAAGGTGTGACAAGCAACCTGCCTATGCCCCAACCACCACAGACCACCAGCCGCACCCCAACTACCCCGCCCAGAAGTGTAAGTATGACCCTGTCTTGCGGAAGCTGCCGGGGCCTCTTCCTGGCATGCAGAAGGCTCATTGTGTGTGTGTCTGTGTTTTTCTCTGTGGGTGTGTCTTCTCCTGTTCTTTCGAGTGGTGGGTCTTCCTCTGCAACATTTCTTCTCTGTGCCTCTGGTCGCCATCACAAACCGCATTAGGAAATGACAGTGAGCGTGTGGCCTGGCTTCTTGGTGGAGATGGTCCTCGCTCTCTTCATAAAGGGTCCTAGATGAACACCGATTCCCCCCTGTGGTGATTGGCTCTGTCACCCAGTGTCCCGTGTCCTCTCCAGGAGGACCTGCAGACCCCTCTGTTGGCCAGCCTGGTGCTGGGAGAGAGATACTGAACTCAGCTTGGCCCTGGTCCTGTTTCTTCCAGTCCCCGCCGCTGGTCTCTGCCCCCACCAGAGCTGGAAGGACTTGACGCGGGCTGACTGCATGACTCTGGGATTTTCTGACGGACGGGGATGTCCAGCTGCATCACGCCCCAGAGTCCTTCCGAGGAACTAAAAGCATAGGCATGGCGGCTGAGGGAGGAAGGCGTAAGGAGGCCGACTGAGGATTGTTAAGAAGACTCTGCCTTTGCCCCCAGCTCTGCCCACCATAGTATTGTCCCCTCTTGGTCACTGATACAGGTGACTAAGGAGTTCCCTCCTGAGTTCTCCCCACATGACTTTGGAGATCTTTGTCCTTCTCTTCACTGCTTATCTTCCGGAACTCATGATGACACCCACACATGCCTTTTTACCAGGCAGGAAGAAGTGCAGCCCCCCGGGGAGTAGCGTGGCCCCCTCCCTGCCCCACTCCTCTTGCCCTCAGCCTCTTTTAACGAGACATTATCACCCACCTCAAGACATTAAAACATAATTCTGTCCCAGTCTGTCTGAACTTGGTAAATGATCCAAGATGTGATGGATCCTAGTGGTTGGCTGGAAGATTTCTCCCAGTCAGCTGCCAGCAGAACCGGCAGACCTGGGCTGTTCGATAAAGTGCTCTTCACAGACACCTCATTTGCCTCTTCCTTCAGCTTCTTCATTTATTTCTTACTCATTTACTACTCAGCTACTTGTCTGCGTCCTTGAAGCCATCCTAGGTCTTACTCTGGTTCTGGATCCTTCAGTCACCCATAAGCTTGTCCTTACTGGGAGTCAGAGGGTCTGTGTTCCCAGGTGAACCTTAACCATTCTTCTCCTTTATGATCCTCTCCCTTGGGTGGACAAGTGTGACTTGGTTATAAAGTCCATTTTTCAAGTTGCCTATATATTGCTAAAAGAAATCCCATTAATGGAAGCAGACTGCATGCCACATTTCGGTGTCTTTCTCCAGGGGCCAAGGTTGGACCCAGAAGTGCATGGGGTTCTTAGTGTCACTCAGTCACGTAGTAAGGGTACACAGTTCCAGACACAGCGCAAGAAAGGCCTTCCTTGGCGGTTCAGAACCTTTTTCACACATCTTAATTCTCTGTGAGCATGACACCCTGTTGTTTTTCTAACCAGCTGTTGTTAAATCTGAAAAAACAAGCTGTTCTACTTTAATTCGCTGCAGACCAACAGATGCAGGGCAGTCAGTGGTGGCAGCGTGGGAACCATGAGTGGGGAGGGTAGGTCAGATTGCAGGCTAGTTATGCTCAGGTGCAGGTGGGCAGGCATGCTAAACACGTTGGCTTTCCTCCCCAGACCATTCCCGGAGTAGCAAATCCAGTTGGAGCAGCAGCGAAGAGAAGAGGGGATCGGCACGTTCCGAGCACAACACCAGTACCAGCACCAAGAGTCTCCTCCCAAAAGAGTCTCGGCTGGACACCTTCTGGGACTAGCAGCGAATCGGGACACAAACCGTCCATCCCATGGGGAGAAAAACCCAGACGCCAGGAAAAGGAGAAACGACAAAGACAGGAGAACAGCCACCTTCAGACTGGAGAATGACGAACCCTCGGACGGGCCTGAGCCCCTGGCGCGGGGGCTGCGACACTACAGGACGCCCTGCATCGGCTTTGACTGCGGACCGTTCACCCACATGAGCCCTGTGCGTTAGGTGTAAATAATGTACAATTTGTGGATGTCCCTGAACCTAGAGGACCGTCTCCTTTTTATATTTGTATTAACTTTAACTTATAAAAAAGAAAAAAACAATTACAAAAACAAAAAAAGCCAACCCCAACAACAAAAAGAATGTTCTGGTGTTGGAGAAGGGATGGTCAGTTAGTCCGTATGTCACACAATGGAATGGAAGCTGGGCCCGGGGACCGCTTTCACACTCACGTCCTCATCCTTGGGTACCCAGGGGAGGGCCAGCCGTTTTCACTCACGTGTCTGTACTCAGCATGCTGGGATCGGGAGTTCTGGCACAGACTCTACCCCGTGAAGCCATGGGCTCCTTTCAGCTACTGCATTACAACGTTCCTAAAACACAAGCTCTCTGGACCAGACGGACACAGGGAGAAGCTAGTTTATTTCATGTGATTTAAACGATTCTACTCCTAAAAGGGAAAAAACACAATGTCCTTGTTTACAGAAGAGAAAGAAACAAGCCCCATTTAGCTCAGTGGCAGAAGAGGAGAGCCTAGAAAGCGTTAGGATCATGAACTCTGAAAAAAAATCTTTGCTTTGCTTTGTGATTCCTTTAAACACACACTCACACACTTGGTCAGAGACGCTGCGCTTCTCGGAAGCGAGGACTCAGGCAAGGCGCACGCAGAGGACATTCGAGTCTGGGATGAAGCATGTACGTATTATTTATATGATGGAATTTCACATTTTTATGTAAGCATGAAACAAAGGCAGTATGAGAGAAAGCAACACCCCGTCATGCTGTCCGTGACACTACGTATGCTGTAGAACCATTTTGTATGTGTGTAAAACAAAAAGCATTGATCAAAAAGCAAAAGGTGATGTATGTATATGAGCAAATTAACTGTCCGATATCATTCCAGTACGTTTCGTTGTACATTTTAGTCTCGTTTACTTTCTCTTCATTGTTAAGAGGATGCGAACTGTACAGTTTCCAGCTAGTTCCCCATATTAGAGAAGAACTAAGAAGAGTATTAGAAGAACACAGAGAAAGAACATTTGTGAATTGCAGTTGTCAAAAAAAAAAAAAAAAATAGCCTAGCTGGCCTTATTTGTGAAGCATAATTGCTTTTAGCATATGGAAGTATTTTTTCACATTTTCTTTGTATAAAATTTGTATTAAACTTAAATATCTTTTTGATGGTGGTGTTTCTTTGTGGCTGAGCCAGTAGACTCACACGGTATGCTTTTTTTGGGTTTTCCCATTGCTTCCCCCACCCCTCTAATTTTTTCAGATTTCTCCACCTTTTTTAAAATTAAACTGTTTTGGAAAAACGCCGTGGTCGTCCTCGAATTTGCAGTTTTCCATTTAGTCCGGTGGCTGTGTCAGATTTGCATGACCAAACCCAGAAGTGGAGGCCGCAAACACCCCCCGCAGCCAGGCAGTGGCACGTTGGAGAGAATGGCCCTTCGTGGGGGGCTTCCCAGGCCAGTCCTCATCAAACAGTTGGGAGAGGAGGGAGTTGTCTTCTGAGGCCAGTAGGGAGGCCGAGCTAACAGGACTCACGTGGATGGCAAGGGTCCTGGCCCTTCACAGGTGCCCTGGTCCATTGCTTGGCCTGGCTGGAGGTGCACATGGTGTGAGTAGAATGAAGCTGGCTTGAAAGGCTGAGGTTTGGTTTCCTGGGTGGCAGTGTCTCTTCTCTGGAATTCAGTAGCTCCCCAGAAAAGATCTCCACAAACCACCTTCCTGTGCTAAGGGCCAAGAGGCGTCATGGCTGGCAGGGGAGCTTGGCCCGCGTGGGTATAAATTCATTCGTGCCAGTCAGCAAACACGCATTGCGTCAGGCACCGTCAAGGAGTCGGGTCCCTGCCTTCACCAAACTTGCATCTCAATGAGGACAACCATCGCTCAGCTGCTCAAGTATTACAGGGGACCTGTCGCGAGCCATGCACAATTTCAGTACTGGGGACAGATGGGGAGCAGGGCCCAGGAGTCCTGTCATGGTGGGCCTCATGTTCTTCACAGGAAGACACACCATCTACGAATTATTTTTTGAGACGCAGTCTCTGTTAATCAGGCTGGAGTGTGGTGGTGCCATCTCAGCTCTCTCTCAACTTCCGCCTCCAAGGTTCAAGCGATTCTTGTGCCTCAGCCTCCTGAGTAGCTAGGGATTCAGGCGTGCACTATCATGCCCAGCTAATTTTTTTTTGTAGAGATGAAGGTTTCACATATTCCCTAGGTTGGTCTTGAACTCCTGACTTAAAGTGATCTGCCTGCCTCAGGCTCCCAAAGTGCTGGGATTACAGGTGTAAACCAGGGCACCCAGACTTTGTCTTCTTTTTTGGAGACAGTCTCACTCTGTCACCCAGACTGGAGTGCAGTGGTGTGATAGCTCACTGCAACCTCCACCTCCCGGGTTCAAGTGATTCTGCCTCAGCCTCTCGAGTAGCTGGGACTACAGGTGCCCACCACCCATGCCTGGCTAAGTTTTCATTTTTAGGGTTTTCGCCATGTTGGCCAGGCTGGTCTTGAACTCCTGGTCTCAGGTGATCTGCCTGCCTCAGCCTCCCAAAGTGCTGCGATTACAGGCATGAGCCACTGCGCCTGGCCCCAAGTCTTTTTTTTTTTTTTTTTTTTTTTTTTTTAACTGAGAAGCATGTTAACTTCCTGTTCCTGGGCTCGCATGTGCGCCTTCCCTCTGCTGTCTCATTTCATCCTGGAGACCGGAGAGGGGAGAGGCCGCGGCCATGGGGTGGCGAGGGGCGGGTCATCCATTGTCTTTCAGCTCCCATCTTTCTTGACTTCTGCACTCTTTGCTCCTTCAACCTGGCACCCTCCTACGTGGCTGCCACCCGATTCTTCAGATGTTATCTCTGAAATAGCTACATGCCCACCGGCCCCTCATGCCCTCAGTGTTTTCTTCATGTCCCTGAGCAAAGGGTGTGGACATTTATAACTTTTCCTGTGTGTCTCACTTGGATGTGAGCTGGGCGAGGGAGGGGCTCTGTTCCCTGCTGTGTCCCCAGGGCTTGGACACAACGAAGGTCATGCAGCTCTGGAGTAGCTAGCAGCACAGTGTTCAAATGCAGAGGCCACCTTGAGGTGTCCCAGTGCACCCCCTATCCAGCCTCTGTTGCAACCTCCCTTAGAAGCAAAGACATCCAAGGAAGAAGTAGCTTGCTGACTCAGAGACAGAGAAATGGTTTTTGGTCAGGTAAAACAGCCACATGACTCAAAGCTGAAGATATGAAAGGGTCTGCAGGATAAAGCCTGTCCCCTGTGCCACCGGTCCTCTCCAATTCCTCAGGGAAGAGTCTGTATTTTCAAACAAATGCAGAGACATTTTTCTCTGCTTTTTCTTACTTTTCTCTTTTAAATTATTGTTATTTTTGAGACAATGTCTTACTCTGTCACCCAGGCTGGAGTGCTGTGGTGCCATCTCAGCTCACTGCAACCTCCATCTCCCAGATTCAAGCGATTCTCCTGCCTCAGCCTCTTGAGTAGTTGGGATTAAAGGCACCTGCCAACATGCCCAGCTAATCTTTGTATTTGTATTTTTATTTTTTATTTTTTTTCCCATTTATTTATTTTATTGCATTTTAGGTTTGGGGGTACATGTGAAGAACATGCAAGATTGTTGCCTAGGTACACACGTGGCAGTGTGATTTGCTGCCTTCCTCCCCATCACCTACCTCTGGCATCTCTCCCCTTGCTATCTCTCCCCAGCTCCCCACCCAATTTCTGTATTTTTAGTAGAGACAGGTTTCCTCATGCTGGCCAGGCTGGTCTCAAACTCCTGACCTCTGATGATCTGCCCACCTCGGCCTCCCAAAGTGCTGGGAGTGCAGGCGTGAGCCACTGCTCCCAGCCTTCTTTTCTACATAAATGGTAGCATTTCATACACATTCTTCAGCCCTGCCCCCTTGCCCTGTTTTTAAAAAACTCTGAATTCTTGAGTATTTGTCCATATTGGTACAGTTCAAGAGCCCCTCCATCCATTTTTAGGGGGTGTGATGTCTGCTATGTGGGCAGGGGATAATGCATGTGGCCAGTCCCCAGCTGCTGGACATTCAGATTGCCCCCAAACTCTGGCTATAGCAAACAGCCCTGCAATGAGCACCATTACAAAATGACTCCCCAGGCTCCTCTGAGCTGCCCACTGGGGTGGTTATTCCACTCTTTGTGCAGCTTGGAAAACTGTGGCTCAGGGGTTACATGAGTTTGGAGGGGGTCAGGTTTTTAGTTGCAAATAACAGAATCTACTCCGGCTAATCTGAGCACTCTGGTCTGCTTACTTCTCAGGCCACACCAGCGGGTCAGTGAGAGGCCAGGTAGGAGGGGAAGGACTTGAGGGCTCCAGTCTGGGTTGAGTGCTTTCAAAATGGGAAGAAGAAGGAGAGGCAGTGGGGTCTGGTGAACCTGGCAGAAGCTGCCAGGTCCTTGCTGACTTCCTTTGACAATGACCTGGATAGGAACCGGCTCAGACCTTTTCATGCAGTCCAGCACGCTTGCCATCTGGTGGCCACAGGCAGCACTGCAGCTTGTGGAGCCATCTGGCCCACGGGACAGCGAGCACATGGGCCAAAACCCTGCATTCCAGAGACAGCGATTCACTGAGCTCTCTGTATGAGCCAAGTCCTGGGTCACAGTAGTGAACAAAACAGGTTCAGTCTCTGTACCTATTTATCTGACGCTGTCATTGGGAAGCAATTTGATACCTGTACGCATGTAATATGATCCCAGGCGGGCTAGATGCACTGAAGGTGAAGAGGGTGAGTTGCGTAGGGAGATGGTGTGTTTGGGGGCCCTTTCTAGGGGGCTGCTCATTGAGTAGAAACCTGAGGGGGGTTCTTTCCAAGGGGACTGAGCCCATTTATTATTTGTTTTTTGAGACAAGGTCTCACTCTGCACCCAGGCTGGCGTGCTGTGGTGACATCTCTGCTCACAGTGACCTCCGCCTCCCAGGCTCACACCATCCTCCTGCCTCAGCCTCCTGAGTAGCTGGGTCTACAGGCACACACTACCATGCCCAAATAATTTTTAAATTTTTTTGTAGAGAAAGGGTTTCACCATGTTGCCTAGGCTGATCTTGAACTCGTGAGCTCAAGCGATCTACCTACCTCGGCCTCCCAAAGAGCTGGGATTATAAGTGAGCCACTGTGCCTGGCCATCCATTTTATTTTATTTTTATTTATTTATTTTTTAGATGGTTCACTTTTGTTGCCTAGGCTGGAGTACAATGGCACAATCTCGGGTCACTGCAACCTCCTCCTCCTGGGTTCAAGCGATCTCCTGCCTCAGCCTCCCAAGTAGCTGGGATTATAGGCATGCACCACCATGCCTGGCTAATTTTTTGTATTTTTAGTAGATACGGAGGTTTCTCCACATTGGTCAGGCTGGTCTCGAATGACCAAGCTGAGGTGATCCACCTGCCTAGGCCTCCCAAAGTACTGGGATTACAGGCATAAGCCAGCGTGCCCAGACTATTTTATATTTAATTTATTTATTTTGAGATGGAGTCTTACTTTGTCGCCCAAGCTGGAGTGCAGTGGCATGATCTTGGCTCACTGCAACCTCCGCCTCCTGGATTCAAGTGATTTCTGGCTAATTTTTGTATTTTTTTTGTAGAGACAGGATTTCACCATGTTGGCCAGGCTGGTCTCGAACTCTTAACCTCAAGTGATCCTCCCACCTCAGCCTCCCAAAGTGCTAGGGTTATGGGGTGAGCCACCATGCCCGGCTGATAGTCCATTTTAAACTATACAATTCAGTGGTATTAATCAGAGTTGTGTTTTCCAAAGGTCAGCATTTAGCTGCCACCTTCCTATCAGGCTACATCAGGACCCTATCTAGATTATTTTCTTTAGTCTAGGGAAGCAAAGTTCACCCATATTCCTCCAAGTGTCGCTGATGTGGGCATGCCCCATGTGGGGCCCTGTGCTGGGGCTTTCCATGCTGTAATCCTTTGATTTTTGTAATAACTCCCTACATGGAGCAGACACTAGTAATGGACCCATTCTCCCAATGAAGCAACTGAAGTTCAGAGAGAAGGAAGTGATTTCCTCACACTAAAGGTCACTGCAGAGCAGGGACTCAAACCAGTCTGCTTACTTCCCAGGCCAGTTCAGTGAGTCCTCCGACAACACTGCCCCAGTCACATGGTGTGTGTGACACCGTGGTGAGTTTACAAAATGACT